CGCAGCTGCTGGTGTTCCTGGGCCACATTTCTTGTTTCTGATTTGAGTACTTGCTCAGTAGTCTGGGCCTTGTTAGGTGAGTTTGGGGACATCTGCATTTAGTTTTCTTCCCTGGTAATTCCCGGCTCACTGATGGCCTTTGGGGGGCTCGGAGTGGTGAGGGAAGCTGGGTGGGCAAGATTTCTTTTCTTCTCGATTTCGTTTGCTCAGTACAGAATGTCTTAAGCCTAAAGGTTACATTATCATCTCTTCATGACTCTATTAACGTCCTTCTGTACTGGACTCCGGGAAAGGAAGCATTGGTACTTAATTCTCAGCACTTTGACCTTTCTTCTGGGGAAGGCTGGTGTGATTTCACTGAAATATTTTTCTCAGGCCTCCCCAGCCGTTTGTCTTGTTCATAAAATTACATAAAGTTAGAGGAAGGGGTGCTTGGCCAGATCAGGATCTCACCAGGGTGCCATTGCTCAGAGGAAGGAGAAGAATTGTGTGGTGGGATGGAATCTTTCTCAAAGCGTGGTCCCCTGGTCACCACAGGAAGATTTCTGGACTCTGTCCAGGTTCCACTGAGTCCAACTTGTGCAGGGAACTTGCACTTAACCAGCCTTACAGTGACTTTTTGGCTCCAACCTACTCAGGGAACTAGCAGAACATGACACTGGGGCACTTAATCAAGGCCAGATACTGCTGAGACTTAACCTTGAACCAGGACCCCGTTGTGCACCTCTGTTTCATTTCCTTATCTCCAAAGTGATGGCCGTCAACTAACTTGACACTGCCTCCTGCTGCAGTCTGTGAGTTCCCACCAAACATCATCAGTATCTTTTATTGACTCCAAAGTGATTCTTTTGTAAGAAACTTCAATATGCTGAGTCTGTCTGTGAAGAAGACAGAGGAACAACACACGATCCACCCTCAAGTCGTTCACAGTCTGCTTGAGGCAGCAACTCGGGTCACATCAGAAACTTTAAAAATCGTGCTTAAGTGCTACATTATGTGACTCAGTTTTAGAAAAGTGGAACTTCAGAGGAAGAGATCACTGTGAAGGCTGGGGTAGTTCAGGGAGGCTACCTGAAAGAGGTGGCCTTTGAACAATAGGCTGGTCAGCACAGGCGGGTGACATAAAGTGATGATATGGCAATACCACATGGAAGAAAGTGGAAATGAGTATGTTTGGAAAACCTGAAGGAAAGTTAGATTGCTTAAGGCAAAGGGACAGGATTTTTAATCCTAGTAAAATGACTGGGCCTGGATTTCTTCCTTAAGCAGAAGGCACCGGTAAAGGTTCTGACCAAGAACATTCATGAATTAACAGGCAAAACTGAAACAATCTGTCATGAAGGCAGAAATAATATTCACACAAGTATGAAAGAATGTGTTAGTCTGGATCCTCCAAGAAGCAGGCACCAAGATAAGACCCCATGTCCAAGAAAATTATTAGAAAAAATATGCCCGTGAATGAGAATGGAAAGGAGCCAGAAGAGATTGGAACAGCTGCTAGACCGAAATGCAGGCCTGACCCCACGTGAAGGAGACAGGCAGGAAGGCAGGAAAGCAGGCCGGAAGTTCAGAAACACGGAAAGGGAATCTTCAAGTCATTGTCACCCATCCGAGGAGTCACCTGTCATCCAGAAATGGTCTGCTTTAGTATCCCTTCATTAGCTGGAAGCAGCTCTTGGGAGGTACAGACTTGACAAACAGGAAGCAATGAATTTTGGAGCACACAGCTGTGGTCTTCAGTCAGGAAATTGTCATGATGCAATCTCATGGCAGCCACTGAGAGGAAGGACGAACTAAGGAGACTCTAATAACATTCTTTCGGATGGATGGCCTCCAGCATGTCTGAGTGTTTGTGGTGGTGCTGCCTCTAAGTAGAGGTCTTCCCCAGCCCCCTGTGACTTGGTAGTTTCTGCTCTTAGGTATCAGTTTGGATTAGGAAACCTTGCCTGGGAGCACGGAATTGTCTGCTCATTTGTGGAGTCACCCTTAGGAGACTGTGAGCTCTACAAGGGCAAGACCCGGATCCTTTCTTTGTATATCTCCAGTGTGTAGACTCGTGGCCAGAATTTCAGTTACTCAATAAAGAAGAGAGAAGGAAAGGAGAGAGGGAAAGAAGATGGATGCTTTAGGTTTTGGATAAGAAGAATTTTCTAGATCTAGTTGTTAGAAGCTTTGTTGGTTAATTGGAACCCTTATCCCCAACATCTTCTCTTTTGACCTGAATTTCGTGCTTTTTAGAGACTGTTTGAGGTCCCTGAAGGCTTGATATATTTGGAGAAAAATGGAGTGATTTGACTTGTTCCTGCAAGGGCCTAGATGACCGTTCTGACTCATTCCTAATAGATTAGCATAGTTTGGAGCTTGTTCTTTTAAAACTTGGGCTGTCCTACACTCAGATACCTGAGCTTTTACAAGGTAACTCTGAGAATGACTTGGTAGATGAAAGGTCACCAAATGAAAGGCAGAAGAACTCTGTTAGATGTGTGTACAAGGGTCTGTTTGTTTGTTTGTCTGTGTGTATATACAATTATCTGCTTGTTGTTACCTGTATGGTTGGGGAGATTATGGATAAGAATAATTCACTTCATGTATGGAGATTCCTTAGAAAATCTGGAATGGAACCACCATTTGACCCGGTTTTCCCACTTCTCAGTTTATACCTAAACGACTTAAAATCAGCATACTATAATGATGCAACCACATCAATATTTATAGCAGCTCAGTTCACAATAGCTAAGTCATGGAACCAACCTAGGTTCCCTTCAATAGATGAATGGATAAAGAAAATGTGGTAAATATACACCATGAGCCATAAAATAGCATGAAATTATGGCATTTGCCAGGGAATGGATGGAGCTGGAGAATACCATGCAAGTGAAATAAGCCAATTCCCCCAAACCAAAAGCCAAATGTTCTCCCTGATATGTGGATGCTAACACATGATAGGGGAAGGGAGGGAAGAACAGAAATTCATTGGATTAGACAAAGGGGAATGAAGGGAAGGGAGGGGAATGGATTAGATTCATTGGATTAGACAAAGGGGAATGAAGGGAATAGGAAAGACAGTAGAATGAACTGGACATAGCTTTCCTATGTTCATATATAAATACAAAACCAGTGAAACTCCACATTATATACAACCACAAGAATGGGATCCTAATTAGAATAAGCTATACTCCAAGTATGTTTAATATGTCAAAATACACCCTACTGTCATGTACATCTAAAAAGAACAAAACAAAACAAGAAAAAAAAACTGTAAAAGAACCATCACCAACAACTAAGCCAACTAATTAAAACTGTATACCCAGTTTTTCACAATCTCATAATTTTTCATAGGAACATATGAAATGAATAGGAAGCTCTAATTCATCACTTTGAAATCTACATATTAACAGGGCATCTCAATGTATCATACATTTTTAATTTTTATGCATATACAAATTATTTATTCCTTACTTTAGAATATCCATATGACATCAAATATTTGGTATTATAAAAAACAAAAAAGGATAATTCACTGCATAGATTAAACCCTCCTTGCTGTGTGCTCTAGTAATAAGGCAGCTTGGTGGATTCTGCTACTTTGCAGATAGCCATGCCATTGATGATGTTTCTCGCCAGCCTGTTATTCCAGTCATAGGACACAATCTGGGGAGAAATCTGAGCCCTCTGGGAATGGCCTCCCACAAAAGTTAAATGCCCTAAGCCCAATTTGCCATGGACTCCTTTTGATCTATAATGGATCCCATCCCAGGCTCGCATCTTTTTCTTAGTTTACATAGGAGAAATAGAAATGGGGCTGATTGACCCCATGGAGTGCGAGATGAGAATAAATCTCAAAAGTGAGCATTTTGTTGTTAGTTAAGTGCCATAAAAATGTTCAATATAATGGCTGATTATTTTTCTTTAATCTTAAATGGATACCTAGAATGGGAAAGTCCCATCTTGGTAGCAGAAATTCATTATCTTGGAAAGAGTTTAATGGCTTCTGTGCAAATGAACTGGAGGAAGTTAAATTGTGGAATGGGAAGGAGCTGAGAAGAGTGAAATGAGTTGTGCATTAAATTTAGATAAACACGATTATGTGTAACTGGATTATCACGCGTGCAGGCAGGCGCTGTGTATTACCCACCTGCGTTTTGATTAAAGCAGACTCAGGTGCGGGCACTTAGCATACTCAGAGGTAGAAGGTTGTACCTAAGCCACTGTCCAGGGCACTTGACGGGCGGGCAGGGCAATCGCTTATATTCGAGTCCCAGCGGGAGGACACTAAAGGGCCCAGGAACACACTCACCAGCCCAAGAGTAGTTCAGAACACCACTAAGTCGAACTCTCTGGCACATAGAGCTACTTCTGGGTTTTTCACTTCAGCTGCAGTCAGGGGAGCGGTCCTGGAGTCCTGTGAAGTCCAATGACCTGCTTACTGCATGGTGGGGCAGATGCCACATGATCAATGGCAAATGGCATCAGAGGATGGTGGGGACTGAGCCTACTGCCATTCAAGTATTTATGCCTGCGAAGGCCCTACTGATGGAAACACAGAGTCTCTTTGAAGCCCTTCTGTAGACAGACAGAAGCAGACCCAGTTCCTTCTTCCCCCTTTAGATCCAGTTCTGTACATCAGAGTCATCTTGAGATCAAAAGCAAGTCTGTCCCTGATCTCTGGGTGACCTTGGTATTGAACAAAGCCAGCTGGCCTGGGCCTGACCTTGAGGGGGGACAGATGTGGAGAAACAACTGTCAATGCCCAATTAATTCCTGTTGGCATGTTTTATTTCAAATGCAGAGAACTTCCAGGATTAAAATTTATGCCACCAGTTACAGAGATGCATTAAATTAATAATTTTCCCCCTTGCTTGATCCCCTCAACTTAACGGATAAATACTAAGCCCTCCTCTGGGTGATAGGAGATGCACTGTATACTGCTACACAAACTAAAGTCAGCTTCCTTTGTCCCTCTTTGTCCCTCTCCTCTGCCCTCATCCCACCCCTTGCAGGTCATACTGATCCTGACGAAGCTGTACGACTTCAACCTGGGGAGCGTGACTGAGAGTTCTCTTTGGCGGTAAGTGGATTAGAGATTCTTAAGGAGGTGCATCGCTTTGGCTCTGGAGAAATGCAGGCTGAACAGCTGGGAAGCCAGTTTCAGAAGGAGCTGAAGATTGGCCTCCTCCTGGAAGCCCATTTTAATGCATGGGCGGACCCAAGCACCTCCTCCTCTGAATTAATTCCCTCTGTTTCTATCTTCTGAGTCCAGCATACATTCTCCGCACCTTGGCACCTTGGCACTTCTATAGTGTCATTCTGCTGAAGAAGGAGAGGTCTGGCCAGAGAGGTCAGATGACCACAGCTTCAACAGGTAGAGACCCTCGACAAGGGGGCCCTCTGCTGCCCGAGGAAGTCTTGCCATGGGTGTCAGCCTTGGCCTAGGGACGGTGTCCAGGCCTTTGCATGTGGAAGGTGTTGTGGTTCTGGAGACCCAGATCTAAGTCTGTGTGGTCACTTTCATGGTTCCTAGGCACTTTTACCTTAAGGGGCCCTTTTCCCATAAAATAATATTAAAATAATATCATTTTATTAAAAATAAAATTTAATAATAATTGGTAGCAATTAATATCGTGGATTAAAATTTCAGCCTAAAATTCATTTTTTTTCTTTTTAATTCAGAAGAACTTAAAATATTTTGAGGCCCCTGAAAGTATTGTGATTGCTAGACACTGTACCTTCTATGCCTAGTTGATAAGACCACCCTGGTAGCAGTGCTACCAGGGGACGAGGGAAGAGAGCAATATGGGTGAGTTAAGAAGGACTTTAATGAAGCTGTGACACTAGGAGATCCTCTGGCCAGGAAACTATGTGCACATATATATACCTCTTTACACACCTGGTTACCTACATTCACACTCAGACATGCTGATGTCCAGTCACACTGGGCTGCAGCAAGTTCCACCAGCCAGGGTGACTTGGTGCTTTACACTCTGTGCTCATGGCTGTGGGACTCAAGGGGTTGACCATTTTCTCCTGTTTTCTCTCTCAGGTGTTAACACTGGAGAACACTGTCATAAAAGGCCATTTTTTTTTTCTAGCTGCTTCCTTATCTCTGTGCTACGTCCTAAGAATTTCCTTGGGTCTTAAATATGAGGGGTCTGGGGTGCGAGATGCCTCTTCACCTGACCTGCTTGTTTGCAGAGAAATAGCCTCTCTCCGCAGGAAGGGGGACAGTCACGGCATCTATTATATATTTGGGGGCTAACTGCTCATATTGATCGAGGCCTGCCTCTCTGCACAGGATGTCTCGGATCTAATTTTGCTGCTCAGTGAAAATGGGCAGAGGTGTAAGTAACCAGCATGCCTCTAGCAGAGGAAAGCTTGACTATTTCCACTCGCACAGTACTTCCCAGAGAATTAGAGCTCAGAAACCTTCCCTCATGCCCAGTGATGCTGTGTGATACTTTAAGCTTCACTTCTGTGTAGTCTGCTTGGCCAAATCATGAAATAAGCCAGAAAGTCCTATCCTTATATTGGAAAACAGCTGTCCTGGCATCCCATGCTTCAGAAGAAGTTCAACCAATTCTGGGAATAAACCAGGCAAACACAGGGATCTTGGACTAGTTGCTGTGTGCCTTAGTCTAGAAGCTGAGAAGGGGGTACCCACAGTCACAGAGACCCATGAATTCACTGACTCGTGGTAGGCAGTGTGGTGGCTCCAGGGCTCCCCGTGTCCACTAGCCAGGATTCAAGTGCCTGTTTGTCCCCCCAGGAGCTCTGTAACTCTGTCCACTTTACTTAACCTCTCTGTATTAGTTTCCTTGGGGCTACTATAACAAAGTCCCACAAACCAGGGGGCTTAAAGCAGCAGATATTTATTCTCTCAGAGTTCTGGAGTCCCAAAGTCTGTGGACAAGGTGCTATGGAGGCCACAATCCCTGTGGAGGCTCTCGGGGAGAATCCTCTATGGCCTCTTCCAGCCTCTGGTGGCTTCTGGCAGCCCTTGCAAATGCATCCCTCCCTTCCTGCCTTTGATTTTAAAACACCTGCTCTGTGTCTTCCCCTCTTCTGTCTCTTATGATGACACTTGACATTGGACTCAGCACCCCCCCACCCTGATAATCTGGGATGATCTCATTACGAGATCCTTAACTTGATGGCATCTTCAAAGACTCATTTTTTCAATAAGGTCCTGTTACAGGTTCTGGGGGTTGGGGTGTGGTCATACCTTTTAGGGGAGACCAAACTTTCATTTCACTCTCTACACCTTAGTTTCCCTGTCTGTAAATTGGGGATAGCACAGAACATACCTTTGCCTTTGCCATATTTTCCTTGCAATTCTTCTGATGCACCCACCATACTGCTCCCTGGAGTCTTTATGCTCATCTCCGTCCATCTAGAGCCCCCAGGGTTCAGGCAGATACTTTGCTTCCTTCCCTTCTGCTCACAGGTCTCCTAATCAGTGAGACCTTTCCCCAGGACTTCACTGTTCATCACTTGACTACGTTTCCCTTCTTAGTACTTATCCCCATCTGGCATGCTAGGTCTTTACTTATTGATTTATTTATTGTCTACCTATAACCCACCAGTATTTAAGTCTTCTAGAAAGCGAATTTTTTTTTGCATTTTAATTCAATGCTGTGCCCTCAGCACCTAGAAGAGAAGCTGGCACACAAGAGGTGCTTAATAAGTGTTTGCTTGATGAATGGCTTCTTAGAAGGATTAAATAATAAATGTGAAAACACTTAGCACAGTAACTCACGTAGCAAGTGCTTACTTCATTGTAATTATTAATGCTTATTAGAAACTGGGTGTTTGTATAGGGTTTTTGTTCCATTATTGACTTTGTTTTTAAGGATCCATTGCTGCAGAGGTCTGTGTGAGGGGAAACTGGAGGATACTAAGGTACATTCTGTGTTCTGTGGGAGTTAGCAGAGACTTTGAGGATGAAGTAGGGCAGGAGGTGAATTAGAATGCTGTCCCCTGTGCCACCTGGGGGGAATTGGAATATCACTTTCTACTGGGTCAACACCTTATGTTGAAAAGGTGTTGAATAATGGGAGGGATTGGCAAATGGCAAAAGTGGAAAACTGTCCCGAGTACAGCAGGGCAAAGACCAGACTGTGCTGGCCTGCAAGAGAGAGGGGAGCCACGGAGGAGGTAGAGAGCAGATGAAGGCTGGACTGGGTAGGAGGGTGCAGGGACCCCACATTTTATGGGAGAGGCCCAGCCAGAGGTGGTCCTCAAAGTGCACTTTATCGAAAACAGGTTCCACGTGGTATGCAAAGCTGGCGGGTATTATGGGCTTTGCCTCTGGATAAATGTCATCTATGAATGCAGTTTTGTGTTAGGTTTGAAGGTGTTCATGGGTCTGATAAAGCCCAGATTAAGGGCTCTGGGTGTAGGAATGAGGGAAGAGACTACTCCTACATCTTGTGGGTTTTCCCACCTTGCTAGGGCCTCACAGGGAGTCTTCTTTTCATTGTCTTCCCCATGCTTCCCCTAAAGTTCTCTATCTCCCATCCTCTTTTTCTGTACTGATAACGATGACATTTTACCACTGGAGCCTAGAGCAGTATGATTTTCCTTCCTAATACAGTGGGCTGAGAAAAGAAGCTGAATTAAACATGCACCCCTTTCGCTTTGTGATTTGGCCCAACATGCTTAACCAACTTGAAATTGAACTTGGTGATTCTTCTTCAATTTTCTGTACAACAGGAGAAGCCCCGGAGCAGCAGCTGTCATGACAAGATGACACCCCCTGCCAGGTTTCAGTGTGATATAATTATTTGCCTCACTGGATTAATAATTCAGAGGTCTTCTAAATAGACAAAAGACTGAGACATCAAATAGTGCGGCAGTCTCTGTGTCCTTGTGACATTCTTTCTGGGACTCTTTGGCGCTGTTACCCAGGATGGCTGTGCAAGTTTGTCATTTAGCACAACCACCTGGTGGCATCCCTTCGTCCAAGAATACTACACACATAGGCTTTCAGGTTTAGAGAATTAAGGGGGTAGGACTGGCTTTTCTAAAGGACCCAGGCCTTCCCTGTGTTACTTAGGTCATAAGGCAGAGATTAGGAGGTCTTCCAAGCTGTGATCTGAGACTCCTATATTCTGCACTCTCCTAAATGAAAACTCTGCAGCTAAATAGAGACAACCTTCCCATTCACGTCTCCTTCATTCTCACCAAACATAGGCCACTGTCATGTGGTGCACCGGGACTGTGGACTCCAAGGAAGGGCTGCATTCTGTGCAGACTCCATGCAGCCCCCTTGCTCCGGTGCCATTATTATGCCCCTCTGCACACATGGTGCTCTGTGGGTCTCCACCTCCTTTAGTGGCATTCACGGTCCTCCATTAGGGAAATGGAAACTCAAATAAAGCCAGTTAATCCACAGCTTGTGGCTGAAGTATTAGCCTTGAACATAAGTCATGGTCAAGATTTATGTTTCTGACTGGCAAATCATTTCTTGGACTCAGTTCTTTATGCCTTAGACATTAGCAGTTGGGATAATGAACACATTACCTTTCTCTCTCTCTCTCTCAAAAAAGATATATTGTTTTCTGGAGAGTGATGAGTTATCAAGCAATTGTTTTAGCTTCCACCTTCCCCATGACAAGAGCTTGTCTCTAGTAGAGGTTCCTGAATGGAACATCTTCAGATCAAAAGAGACTATGCGTGAGTGTGTGGTCTCCACAGGAGCTTTTCTTTGGCTACTAGATTAGGGTCCTCACAAAGGTAATGAATTTGCAACTATCTAGGCATAAGAGGAAGCAGGAATTCTTCACAATGAATGGTTCCCCTCATTTGGTATACCCTAACCCTAACCCTAGCCCAGCAGTATGGGAGGCATTCTGATTTAAGCAAAGCATCCAGTTTGCACAGATGTTCCTCTGGATTCCTGGCTTCAGAGCCCACAGAGCAAAGGGCCTTCTTGGTTAGGGTGTTTCTAGAGCAGACAGATTCCCAGGTACACGCTGTTGGAGGCCTGCTTTGATCCTCCTCCCCAGGTGGGATGTCCCTTCTCTGCTCAGCCATAGCTTCACATCCTTAAGCAGTGTTGAGATTTGTTCT